ATTTTTCGTCATTTATGACTGTATAACAACCACAATCCATGATAAATGATACTCAATCAGTAATTCACAATACACAATCCATAATCCACAATCCACAATCCATAATTCACAATACACAATCCATAATCCACAATCCACAATCCACAATCTACAATCCACAATCATAATCCACAATCATAATTCACAATACACAATCTACAATTCACAATCCATAGATCCCGAATGTTAGATGAGTGGCATGGTTCTTGCATATTCTCTAAAATTGATTTAAGTGTTTGATTGCCATAACTATTCAGAGGAGAAAAAGGTGAAACTAGCAGCGGTGGAATTTACTGATTACGCTGTAGTGTGGTGGGATCAGCTTGTGCTTAGTCGACGTAGAAATCGAGAGCGTCCTGTTGACACTTGGGAAGAGATGAAGGCTGTGATGAGAAAACGGTTTGTTCCTAGTCACTACTACCGCGATCTCTATCAACGACTACAGGGCCTTACTCAAGGGTCCAGAAGCGTTGAGGATTATCACAAGGAGATGGAAATCGCAATGGTTAGAGCGAATGTCGAAGAGGATAGAGAAGCAACAATGGCCATGTTTCGTTTTAAAGGCTGTTTTCCATTCATCTCCTTTCTTCATCCTAATCTGATGATATCCACTAACCTGATTTAGCTTTCCTGAGTTTAAAAATCCCTTGTCGTGCTGTGGGTCTCATTGTTCTCTTTGGGGTTCTCATCACCGAATCTATCACAATACCAACAACTCAGCCCTCACAAGAGTTAATCATACAGCCAAGACAACAAAGAAACCGTTCCAAAAATAACCATTTTAATAATATTAGAAAAAAGCAAATTTAAATTAACCACCTCCACATAGCCACAATCTCATCTCAAACTTAAATAAAAATATTATGTTTGGTCCACAAATCATCTCATTCCATCATTAAAACATATTAGTAAAAATCATTCTTTAAGAAATAAATAAATAAATAAACAAATACATAAATAAATCAAAATTTGACAAAACTCGTTTAAATTTATCGATTTCCTTTAAAAACACATGAACGTATAGCTACTCACCTCAATAATTATCTCTTAAAATGGAGTTCCACACAATCAATTCAAACCTAAAAGAATATCAAATAAATATAACTCAATCACCTAATAAAAATTTGCCTAGTACTTCTCAAGTATTGACATGTAGTAATTCTCTAAACCATGCCACTGATGTCTTATTCCTCAAATCGAACTATTGCTT